AGATGGTCCAGCATTCACTGCTATATAGGAGGACTGATATTACATAAGAGCTCAATATTCTTTTCTTCGTTTCTGACGAAATTTTCCTGCTTCTTAATATTGTGCTTAGATTTTGGAAGGTATCTTATCTATTCCAATGCATCGTAAGATTTTAGTGTTGCTCTTCCCGCTCTCTTCCCAAATACTTAAATTGTATTATAATATGCATGTCGGGCTGTTCGTTTTGCTGACAACTATATTGTCTTCTTGAAATTGATGTTTAGTGCTTTCATCTGGCTTTCCTTCCCTACTTTATAGGAATTATTGTCGTTTCCTTTCTGTGCCCGCTATCATCACAATGCCATCTGTATACTGTTGTTGATAAGACTGCGGTCACCAATTATGGTCACTGGTAGGTATTCTAATTTTTTCAGAAACGTGGCACAATATAGGTTGACTAAATGTGGTGAAAAGGCATGTCGTTCTCTTACACTCCCTTTCAATAATGTCACTACATCGATCGCTGTAACTTCCTAATGGCATCAGCTCTCAATTTGGTATCTATGCTGATGTCACAAGCGTTTATTCCTCTCTCGATAGTAGTTTCAACCGGAACGATAAAGTCAAATTGGTGGCTTATGTCAAAAACTACTTTTACTCCGTTTTTTAACGGTGACAAAGGATGGCTTGTTAATTTTAAGGCCTCCAAAACTAAGCTGCGCTCTATTTGTGGCCGGACATTTGGCCGAGAGACATTTAGCCGAGAGATATTTGGCCAAACGGACATTTGGCCGAGAGACATTTGACTGCACGGACATTTGGCTGAATAGACATTTAGCCGACAGATATTTGGCCTAGAAACATTTAGTCAAACGGACATTTGGCCGACAGACATTTGGCTGAATGGACATTTGGTCGCTGGACATTTCACCCAAAAAGTACAAGTAAAAGTAGCAACCAACAATACTTTAGATATTTAAATTAGTTGTATTAGTAGAATAGGACTAATAATGATCACTGAATTTCAAGTGATTAAATTACTAAATCTAAATTTAAATTTAAAAGTTTTCTTATTTCAATATTTGTTTATTGAAATTAGTATTTTTAAAAAAATATTTGTGTGTATTTGGGTAAAAAGTATTTAAATTCGTATTTAACATTAAGATAAATCGCTTCTTACTGGTATTTTTTAATACCCGATTTTTAATTCCTTCACAAATATCTCAACCCATTCAGTCTCAGTGGCTTTAATGCCTTTCTTGGGGTCAACTTGCAATTTTTAGCTATGTTTCAGATGATGCGAAACACAGCAAATACCTTGGCTATAATTGTTGTGTATATCTTGGTCAGTTTTTTTTTTCGCTTGGTCAAGTCCGAAGTTTCGGAATGCTTATCTTTCAGAGCATGATCTTACTGCGTCTGCATTTACGGCAAGATAATCTTGTCGGCTTCATACTTTGCTATTTATCTGCGAATCGCACTCAGATCAATTTAGTAGCTATAATAAATTTTCATTAAGATTCGGCAACCTTCTCTGTCAGCGTTAATTAAAATATGTCACCTGCAGACAATCATTTTACTTCACTGTGCCACATTAAATATCTTGTTAACAGTTTCAAGACATTCAAAATATTGAATAATTACTCGGATAATTAATCAAATTAAAAGCGGAATGTGCGTGTGTGTGTGTGTGCTCATGCACGTCTCTGTTTGTGAGAGCGATATTTCTTTTTACGATGGATTACATTATTTATTTTAGATATGTATTGATAGAAAACGAAAGAATTTACAGGATTATTAAAACAGAAAGAGCAAATTTCGAAAAGTTAATAAAAACAAATCCTAAGAGAGAAAAACACATTCAACTCATTGCTGTATAGGAAAAAAGTTCAAAGTTCATTTTCAGGTTGAACTTCGCAAATTGCAGTTCACGAAACGAATTTTCTTGTGGTGTGAACATTTTAAGGGTTGATAAAAAGTATAACAATTTAAATTTATACAAAATTTGAAAAAAAAAATTAACATCGAACAGTGCCATCTGTACGAGATTGAAATGATTTTTCCTTTATTTTAATAACTTGGAAGATTTCTCTATCAAGTAATGTGTTGAATGCGTTTCTGTCTTTTAGCATTTGTTTTTATTACATTTTTGAAATAGGCTCTTTATTTTTAAATAAGCCTTTATATATATATATATATATATATATATATATATATATATATATATATATATATATATAAAAGAAAAATATCCGGAAAAAAACAAACAAAAATCCTAATATGTAATTATGCTGTTTTAATGTTAATATAATGTCAACGTCGGACGTTTCGGTCTAACAGACCATCTTCAGGACATATTCATAAAACATAATTAACATAGACCATATTTATTTCAACATGAAAAGACGATGGACATAAGAGTAAGACTAATCAAAATAGATAACTATGTATATTTTTCTTCATACTGACGGATCTATATCCATATATTTGCGTGCATATATATATATATATATATATATATATATATATATATATATATATATATGCGTATTTGTAGGTGTGCGCGCCGTTTCGGTATGTGCCAATTGCGATCAAAACAGCATTTTATTAGCTTATTTTTATCGCTATCGCTCCCATTCATTCCTGGCCTCTTATAATCCTTTCTTATAACCCTTTCTTCTTATAATCCCTTCTCCTTATAATCCCTTCTCCTTATAATCCATTCTTCTTATAATCCCTTCTCCTTATAATCCATTCTTCTTATAATCCCTTCTCCTTATAATCCATTCTTCTTATTATCTCATCTTCTTATAATCTCTTCTTATAATCCCTTCTTCTCATAAATCATTCTTCTTATAATCCCTTCTTGCAGATTAAGGAATTTAGCATCCAGTTTAAAATTTTTTTTTATATAAAAATGTATTACTGATATTTTTACTATATACAAATTTATACTATAAAATACATTTTCATACTTTCTTAATGGTTTGTTTGGTGGGGTCATTATTTGTCCATAGATGTGACCCTAAAAGAGGCTGCCACCCCGGCTAAGGGTGGACATGGGAAAAACAACAATTAAGAAGTGTTAACACTGTAATTATATGATGAACAGGACCCCCAATTCTAAAAATGATACAAATCAATATTTCCCGATTCTGTCAAGCGTTGTGGTTTAATGAATGCTGAACTGCAAAAATCCTCTCCCCCACCAAAGATTTCCAATTTTTTTTTAACGAGCGGAGAATTCAAGTTAAGCAACCCCAGGAAAATGTGATATCAAAGATCCTAGAGAGATATGCATTTGGTTCCATCTAAATAAATAAACGGTAAATACCGTCTATCCATCCGTGTGTCTGAAAACTCTGCGGCCACACTTGTTCTATATAGACATATTATACCTTTTGGGAATCAAGATATAGCCCGGGATTGAAAATCTCTCCTTTATTTCGTGCTTGAACATCCAGCATTGAGATATGTGTCCGGATAAGAAGGGAACAGTTAAAAATTCAAATTTTGAAATAATCGAAAAAATAGCGATTTTTTATATTGAGTTTAACGTAGCACAAAAATTGAATTTAAATTTTTTTGTTTAAAATATGTTCAAAATTTTATGAATTGAGGAAATTATATTTCTTTAAAACGCCAATGAATCAGAGTGAAAGTGAAAGGCTTTGTGACGTGAGGTTTTGAAGTTCCATGGAGTTTGTGATTTGAAGAATTCAACTCAGCTGAAGTTCCACGGAGTTGAAGACCTCAATTTTTGGCATGAATTGGAGTTTCCGCCCAAATTGTTCTTTTGGTCGGAATTGGATTTATAGCCAGAATCCAAGTTAAAGTAAGGCTTTGAAGTTCCATGAATTGAGTAATTCTAAGTCATTTCATCAAAATTATCATTGCTGTTTTCTAAACTGGACCATATGTTCCTTTAGTTTTCAGACCTTCGTAAGAGCTAGCTCAAAAGCTCGCACGGCTTGTAATTTTTAAGCTAGTTAAACATATAAATTTAAGTTTTTGACAATAACATTCCTTTCGATATATTACAATAGAAGTATTCAATAATTATTGAATACCTTCTTCTTCTCTTTCTATGTATTATGGCTCTCCACACTTTCTTTCTAAATAAATTTTGTTATCTCTTCTAAATTAGGCTTCACAAATTTACTGAAGCTCTCTGAGTATGTCATGCGTTGTTCTTCTCTATCCATTCTCATAAAGAGAGATATAACTATAGCTCACGGGCAACTTTCAGGCAGTGACTGTACGTAGAATATTTACGGCTACTAATTTTGACCACAGACAACAAAATGACTGCCAGAAAGAAGGAAAATTTAAATTTAATAAATGAGATCCAGACGAAGAAAGAAAAGAAGAAAAAGCCAGAATGAAAAAAGACGGAAAGTAAGTCTTTCTTTTTTATCCTTTGAGTATCAAATTTTCCAAGCTCTGTTTCCTCATTATGCACCCTAGAAATTTCAAAATGTCTCTTTGTGATGTTAAGTATATGCGTTCTTTTTGTTTCCATTTTCTCTAAAACTTTGTCATTGCTCACATGTTCGGTCCATGGTATTCTCAGCATCCTTCTGTAGAAATATTATCTGTTGCCTCAAGCCTCTTCTTCATCTGATTATCCAACATGCACTACCACATAGGAGAGCTGATATTACGTAGCAATTCAGTACTTTTTTCTTTGTTTGTAACGATATTTTTTTCTGTTTCTTAATACTTTGCTTAGCTTTTAGAAGTTATTTTTCGCTATACTAATGGCCCTCCGGATTTCCGTACTTTTCGCTACGAAAAATACGCGAAATAGTAACTGCTTTCATCAAGTTCAACACATTTTCCCCGCAGAAACTCAATTTTTGTTGAGTTTTATCCTCAGAGAACGATCGTATTAAAAGATTTTTTTTTAATTAAATTACAAAGACGTCTATATTTTTCATTTCCTTCATTACTACTTTTGAAAATATCTGAATGACTAGAGTCTTCACCTAAATTCGGCCATTTTGTTAGTTGTGGCAAATATGTCCCAGACGTCATCGACATCTAAATCAATACAATCGACAAGTTCTTTCTTTCGTTGTTCAGCTGCCAATGACTTTGCTGGCAATACGTTTTTTTTTGTTTTTTAATTCTATTTGTTTGCTCGTTTTTAGAAAGTTCCTTATTTTCCCCCATAATCGCTACATTCATTTTCTGTATTTTTTTTTTTTTCATTTTAATATATTTTTCCATTTTTGATTTTTGTCCATTTTCAGTGTCAACCATGTTTTTTTTTTTTTCTATTTCCTCGATTGTCAGACATGTTTGAACATTTTTTGCTTTCAATTTTTGAGTTTTCAATTTTTGTTTAAGATATGATTTGCCACGATCTTTGTTTTTTTTTTTCTTTTTACGATTTCAGTTTTGTTTTTTTTATATGTCTTACCTCAGTATTTCGTTTGATGGGGAAATATTTGATTGGTTTAATTTTTCCATTTACTTCATTTTTATTTTCATGGACATATCTGCATTCGATATCAGTTTTGTTAATATTCCTTACTTTTTATGTCTTTTATTCTTTTCGTTTTTTGATTTCCTTCTGTTTGTATACAATTCCTTCTTTCGCTGCTCCTTTCTTCATCCGACATGAAATTTAATTATTTATTTCGTTCTATCCGTTCTTCGTTCTTTGATTTATTCTTTCTGTCAGTCCTTCCATGCTCCGACTTGCTTACCGTCTTTCTTCATTCGGACTTTTTCTTCTTTTCTTTCTTCATCAACATTTCATATATTAAATTTTAATCCTCTTACTTTCTGGCAGTCGTTTTGTCGTCTGTGGTCAAAATTAGTAGCCGTAGATATTCTACGTACTACTGTTATAGCTCTATTTAGGCTAATTACCTATTAGCTAAACACATCTCAGTATGCAGTCCTTCTCTCTCTCTCTCACTCTCTCTCTCTCTTTCTCTCTCTCTCTCTCTCTCTCTGTCTTTTTGCGGAATTTATTTCTCTGATACAGTCTTTCTTTTTTGTTTTCATTCATTCTTTATTTCTTCGACCGCCCTGTCTTTCCTTTCTTTGCCGTGTCCATTTTTGTTTGTTTGTTTGTTTCTTTCTTTCTTTCTTTCTTTTTTCTTTGTTTCTCGCGTCCTGGCTTTCCTTTCTTTGTTGTGTCCCCTTTCTTTTTCTTTCTTTCTTCCTTTTCTTTCTTTCTTTCTTTCAATCTTTCTTTCTTTCGTTCTTTCATTCTTTCAATCCTTCTTTCATTCATTCTTTTTTTCTTTCTTTTTTTCTTTCTCGCGTCCTGGCTTTGCTTTCTTTGTTGTGTCCTCTTTTTCTTTCTTTCTTTCTTTCTTTCTTTCTTTCTTTCTTTCTTTCTTTCTTTCTTTCTTTCTTTCTTTCTTTCTTTCTTTCTCGCGTCCTGGCTTTGCTTTCTTTGTTGTGTCCTCTTTTTCTTTCTTTCTTTCTTTCTTTCTTTCTTTTTTTCTTTCTTTCTTTCTTTCTTTCTTTCTTTCTTTCTTTCTTTCTTTATCGTGCCCTGTCCTTCTTTCTGTGTGATGTCCTCTTTCTTTCCTTTTTCTTTCTTTCTTTTTCTTTCTTTCTTTCTTTCTTTCTTTCTTTCTTTCTTTCTTTCTTTCTTTCTACGATACGGTCATTCATTCTTTCTTTCTGTCCTTCTTTCTTTTTTTCTTGTTACGCTTGTTTATCTATTGCTGTCTTTCATTTATACGGTCTTATTCTCTTTTTTTATTGCTAACTTTCTCTTTATCTTTATATATTTATATTTTTTTCCTTCTTTCTAGCGGTCTCTCTTTCACTGACATGCTTTGACTTGCCGGTTTTTCTCTCTTGCTGCCTTTCCCTCTTTCTTTCTTTCTTTCTTTCCGTGTTTCTTTCTTGTTGCCTTTCACTCTTTCTTTCTTGCTGCCTTTCCCTCTTTCTTTTTTTTTTCTTTCTGCTATTCTGTGTTTCTTTCTTGTTGCCTTTCTCTTTCTTTCTTTCTTTCTTTCTTTCTTTCTTTCTTTCTGTGTTTCTTTCTTGTTGCCATTCTCTCTTTCTTTCTTGCTGCCTTTCCCTCTTTCTTTCTTTCTGTCATTCCCTCTTTCTTTCTTGCTGCCTTTCTCTCTTTCTTTCTTTCTGCCTTTCTCTCTTTCTTTCTTGCTGCTTTTCCCTCTTTCTTTCTTTCTTTCTTTCTGCGTTTCTTTCTTGTTGCCTTTCTCTCTTTCTTTCTTGCTGCCTCTTCCTCTTTCTTTCTTTCTTTCTGCCTTTCCATCTTTCTTTCTTGTTGCCTTTCCCTCTTTCTTTCTTTCTTTCTTTCTTTCTTTCTTTCTTTCTCTCTTTCTGTATTGCTGCCTTTCTCTCTTTCTTTCTTTCTTTCTTTCTCTCTTTCGTTATTGATGCTTCTCAGTCTTCAGGTTTTGCTTGTTTACTGTCTTTCTTTCTTACGTATTGACATTTTTATTGCCATTTTTTTATTCTTTTAACAACTTGAATAAACCTTAAAAAACACATTGACGATAACAGAAATACTTACTGTATATAAAAAGCAAGCTAAATATTAAGCAAGAAATCAAAACAGTGAAAATATGATTAAAGTAAGAAAATATGATAAGAGAAAACAAAAGAAAAAAACTTTTCTAAAAGCAAGCTACAGCTGGCGTAGAACTCTTGATAGTAAAATTCTGTAAGCTCAAGCACCATGCATCTTGCTTTCGCCAAGCATCGCTACTGAGTACACTCACACGTTCATAGATCGTTACTGTTTGGCAGCTTCGTATAATGGACATATATCTTTGCGAACTTATCTATGCTAATAATAATAATTTTATTGAGTTCACGTGGTTCAGTAGTAGCTGGACTTATTCCCGGAGTGACCAGAGTATGAAAGAGTCATCTTCGTATCTCAGCCTTTCGGTTAGCTTTAGTTTCTAATGCCATTTTCTCAAAGTATTCCATATATAGGTTTGCTATTGCTGGTGAAAACGGTGAGCCCATTGTCGATATATTCCTGATCATATTCTAAAGTGTGTTGTTTGCATACAGAAAGTCAGCATCTGCATCAGGTTATCTTTTTGTATACTGGTCCGTTCTCCTAGGGATGAGATCGAGGCCAGTCTGTTCTTGACTACCGAGAGTGCCCCCTCTATTGGTACTTTGTTGAACAAACTCACCACGTCCAGGCTCATCATCTGGTTGGATTGGATGGGAGCACTATTTCCAAGGAGTGTCTAGAGTTCCGTGCATACAACGGCGACTTTTCAATTAATGAGTCGATTATATTTACTAGGAAGTGATTCAGAGGATGGCACACAAAGCCTTAGCAGTTAACAATCGGCCTGAGCGGAATATTGTCTTTGGAATTTTTGGTAAACTGTATATGTAAGGTAGCTTGGTGCAACGCTGTGACAACTGCTTGCGAAGTGGTTTTGTCCTTGATTATTTCATTGTAGGATCTTTCTTTACTCGACTGTATCTAACCTTCGTAATGAGGTCTTCCAGTTTTTCTGTATATGCCATTTTGTCCATCAATACAGTTCCATTGCCTTTGTCAGTTGGAAGTATGGTGATGTTTTCATCCCTCTGATTGCCAGCCTCTCCAAATTCGTGATGTTTGATTTGGGTGGCTTAGCTTTCTCCGCTATCTGTCCCACTTTCTATCTTAGTTCAGCCACCTGAGCCTGAAGGAAGTTCAAGGCTATTTCCTTGATTCGAGCAATGATGTCCAAGTATGGCATCCTCCTGATGATTGTGGCAAAGTTTAGGCCTTGATTAGTACTGACTCCTCAGAGATACTCAGCTAGTGTTCACTGATGCTGATTACTGATTTCACTTGTGTGTTACCTTCTGATCTAAACAGTCTGATTAATGTCTGTACTTGTCGGGCCATGATTGCACCGAATTCATGCCTGAAGGATTTATCCAGGTCGTGATGAAAACTCTTCTGGTCTTCTTAGTTGATAATTATGTTGAAAAAGACTTCGAGCCTCTGGGAGGGGATATCAGACTGTAATTTCTGTTTTATCCAACAATTGCACCGGATTCTCTCTCGGATAAGGGTGTAACCCGCTTTTTTGTGATCAGTGAAACTCTCATTGAATTGACGGGAAGTCTTGGAACCAATCCTGAAGGAATGAGTTGCAGGTCTCTGCATTGACATAGGAATGTCAGACGGTTTGAAATCCATGCCAGCTTCTTGTGAGACTTTTCCAGTTATCTCCATATTTTTGGTATATCGGATCCATAGCTATTCTTCACTATCTGTCTATATCTATCTGACATGGGGTATTATAATGTAAATAATGCAAGTAATTATAACACATCGTCTTAGAGATATAGACATACATAACATCCATTTTTTATTATATTTCTTTTAACGATAGGTGTTTTACCATTTCATTTTTAGCTCCCACTTGTTGCCATACCCAGCTGGCCGATCAGAAAAAGCGTTTAATATGGCCCAGAAAGAGATATATTAGATCGAAGTAGCTAAATGGTTTGGGCTACTGTAACCAAGTAGTACATGGTAGCAGTAATCGACTGGTACTCGTCGTAGTCTCAGGTAATAGGTGTGGACCAATAGGATAGCCAATGGCGTAGTCCAATGGGCGTCGTCATAGACTTAAACTCTGCCGTACCTACACGTCTGTCTGTATTTATGACGAACACAGATCAATCATATTCCATTGAGGGGAACACAGGTGTATGCATATTCCATTATATCAGCGTTCAAAAAGCAAAGTTGAGATCCTTGGTTAGTACTGACTCCTCTTAGGTACTCAGTTATTATTGACTGATGTTGACTACTGTCTTTACTGATTGGTGATGGACCTTGTGTGTCACATTCTGACCTTTTAATCTTTGTACTTATCGGGCCTTAATTGCACCGATTTCATGTCTGAAGGATTTATCCAGGTCGTGATAGATCCTCTTTCGGTCTTCTTCATCGGTAATTCTGTCTAAGAAAGCCTCGAGCCTCTAGGAGATATCAAATTGTAATTTCTGTTTTATCCAACGCTTGTACTGGATACTCTCTTGGATAAGGGCGTGACCCACTTTTCTTGTGACCAGGGAAGATCTCCTTGAATTGACGGGAAATCTTGGAACCAAGCCTGAAAGGAATGAGTTGCAATTATTATTTACATTATTCGGACTGTTATCCTCATTTTCATTGCTATATTCATAACGTTTGGACCTCTATATCACTGAGATGAGGTATTATAATGTATTATTTATATTATTGGGACTGTTATCTTCACCTTCATTGCCATATTCTAAACGTTTCGGCCTCTATATCTCTGAGATGAGGAATTATGATTACTTGTATTATTTACATTATCCGTACTGTTATTCTCATCTTTACTGTAGCTACCATTCGAAATGAGGTCTTCCAGTTTTTCTGTATATTCCGATTTGTCCATCGCTACAGTTGTATTGCCTTCGTCAGCTGGGGGTATGATAATTCTTTTAATCCTCTGTAAGGTGCTGATTGCCAGTCACTGGAGTGACTGGCAATCAGCACCTTGTAATTGCTTCAATCAAACTATACTATATCCCTTGAACCAAAATGCCACATTCTTACTATCCATATATACTACAGTCACCGTAATACCCCTGAGTCTCTATGATGTCCTAACCAGTCCCCATGAGTACAATTTGTTTTGTGGGGGTACAAGAAACAACTTTAATAATGAAACATAAATTATTATTTACAATATCTTATTACTATATACAAGAAACTAATCAAAATGGCGTTAGTAAGCCCCCGACGCCAATACTTAATTGTGGCAGAAATATCAGTTAACTAGACGAAATTAATACGGGACTTTATAACAATAATTCGACCAACCATACACACAGCTATAAACTCATTGATACACGACAAGAACTAAGAAAAATACACTGGATAAACGAAAGTCGTCCCGCATCCACCAAAGAACCGACATCTCTGGTCACCTAACCGAGAAAGGGAAGGGGAAGGGCAATTAAACTAAAGAAAGTGGGGACAAAAATAAAAAGGTGCCAACGAGCATACATCCCCTAGCTAAGTTAACTTGGCGTAAAGAAAACTGAAAAACAAAACAAGCTTAAAGTAACCTATTTTGAGCGGGATTGCAAAGTTCAATCCAGTTTTTCCAATATCTTAATCCCTAACCGCTTCTGTCTTCTAAAATCCTGTTCTTTTATTGTTCTCTCTCCTTAATAAAGTTTATTTTTCCTTTTTCTCGTAATCTTTCACACTTAGTAATACCTTGAGTCCTAGTGGCTTTATTGCCTTACATGGGGAGAAATGATTATAAAAAGAAAGATGAACCACTTGTATCTATGTAAACACAATCTAAGTAGCGAACTCTGCATTAAAATTTACTTCTCTAAAAAAATGTAACAATCGATGACATGTATTGTGATATTTTCATTACGTCCTCGTAACTTTTACCCACTTCACGCCGGTGCGTTCAACACTTGAGATCTGGCAACCTCGAGATATGATACAACTGACTTTTTTTAAAAAAATTTTTGGGGAGTTATTTTCGTCTATTATAATCAATAAGAACATCGAGCTTTGGCAAAGGTGCCTGTTCGTCACAACAATAATCATCAGCCGCCCTAACATTCCATTTACAAATTCCCGCCAACTGAGACGGCCATTAAAATGACACTATTCGAATTGCTGTCAGTAAAATAAATGGCAACCGTCCAATGCGTACATTTGATTATGTTCTTTGCGTTATACTTTATAAAGCATGATGCTGTAAACCTTTACGCATTTACTTAAAATACGTCGCTTTTTTTATTTATTGTCCTTTTTTATAATTCCATCTGTAAACAGAAGTCAGTTCTTTAAAATGTAAAACGCTCTTTATCATATAAACCCTTGTGCAAATTAGTTGAAACAGAACAAATAATTCGTTATTATTTACTTTTTTTAAAATATTTGTCCAATGAAACATGACCCAGTGCACATGTTAGTACTTCGTATGTCCATTCCACGCAGTCGTTCCTTGCAGATTAGCCACAGATTCTCGATTGGATTTAAATCAAGAGTAAGGCTTGTCAGTTTGTTCGTGCAGCATTACAATTTTCTTACGCTTCCTTGGAGTAATGTCCATCGCAGACAATGTCTCTAGGACAACTAATCGACAGTCGAAACAATAGTTTCTGGATGTAATAAAAATCTGATGCAATCACAGATGACAATATTTTTCAAGGCCAAACAAATTTCATCATAAGTTCCGAATATAGATTCATATTATTGCTCACCACTGCAAAGGTGCTGAAAATGAAATTAATCTGAGGAAAAAATGGAAATATATTCACGCCGATTCCGGTTCAGCATAAAGTATATTGAAAAAATTACTTGATTACCACATTAGATTCGTAAACGTCATTTCCGATTCCATCCAAACCCCTAAGAAGAAGAAAATTTACAATTTATGCAGGGGAAACACCCTTGTG